TTGCTTAAATCAATAAATTGGTTGGGGAGGTACTGTGATGTATCCACACTGCTGTTTTTAATGTTGCCGTGTTTAGTAAACACGAACCCTCGCCGGCCATCTTTTCAACCCTTTTTAAGAGTGTAATTTACTTATAACCCATTTACAAAATCAACAGTCGTTAAACATTATTTCAACGTTTTCTGTCCAGTTTTATTTTGTTAATTAATGGCACAATTAGCCTCAGGCTAAAGGAAGTAATTTACCTGTTATAAATGTGACTTGGAAAAAAACATGGAATTAGAAGCACCATTACGAATCGGACATTAAGCAGTTTTCGTCTCAATCAATCGTGTCGCAGCTGAGTTATCTGACACTCTGCGTTATCTAGTCCGATCAAAGCACTCGACTGATAATTACTAGTCATATTTTATACGTCGTTATCACAAGGTTAAGCCACACTTACATGTCATTGTACGCGCATACTGCACTAAGTAATAAAGAATCATTTATCAACGTCCATAGGTATGGTCACATGATGTGCTTTTCAGTAGGTACCTAGCTCCACTGAAACATTGGATATACAGTAACTTGCGACTTGACAATTGACAGGCATCTATTACCGGGAAAATTGCAGTGTATATCAAAGAATGACCATCAATCAACATTGTATTAGCTTTCAACTAAGTAATAGGTACCTGTCAATTACCATTATTGCTCTACAAAGTAAGTGTCTAATACGCAATTCGCATTTTAAATTAGTTGCAGTAACATTAAATATTAGAAGTGGTCGTTTGTAAATTTAGAAATAGATGGTGGTGCTAGCATGCGTTTTGTAGATGAGTAAACCGATATAATTGAATGGAGGAAAGATACGTTACCAAAACAATTAATAACCTAATTAAAAACTGATTTGCTCAAGTAAATGTTGAGAAAAGCCCTACTGGTCAAGTCACAGAGGGACTCTTGAAACTAGTAAACCTTTCTCAATTTAGTATCAAGAGGTATCTTACGATGGTTATAATACTAATTAATAAGTTCATTAGGTTTTTAATTTAACTGCTACTTGTAACGTTATGTTGTGGTCGTTAACATGGCAGTTCGTACGAGAACGTAATAATGTCCTCAGTTCCGTAAAATTGTATTTAGTTTCGTTGCTGTTATTTGACCAAAAAACAGCACCTACCAAAATTTGCTTTTAAATATGTTCTAATCTTTTGTATGTTCCTCCAATTATTCTGAAGCTTAGTAAAAGCATTAAGGCAGACTATTGATTATTTATTCATACAATAGAGCCAATTAAAATCTTTAAAGGTAAATAGTCAAAAATTAGTTACTGGGGCCCCTGATTCAAATATTAAGAACCTATTAGTTACACGTTGTTTATGACCGAACTGGCAATATTGATCATGGCTTTTTGGATAAAGATGGACTGCCGTAGTGTAATTTAAACGATCACTCAAAGAAAATAAAACACCATACACTCGAAATTGCAATGCGACAGACGTTTTCAACAACCAATTTTTGGCTCTCATACAAATCAAGTCTATTAGTAATTGCTCGCCGTACCAATACTCGATGTCGAAGCGAATGCAAATATTCAATATTCCGATGAAAATGACATAAAGGTAATTGCCGTCCACTTGCTATCGGACGGGCATAAACTAATTGTTAATTAACGAGCATTACTGACTCTATTATTTCTATTGATCGATTTGGAAATGTGGATGACAATTTAATTGTTTGTACTAATTACTTATTCGTTTGTTTCAGGTAAGTAATTTATTATCGCTTCATTATTAAAGAGTTGGGAATGAACTGCACTCATTTGACGGTAAGTTAATATTATAATGCAAGTACTTTAACAACAGATCTCATCGACAGTGCCTTGGAACTTCTTTGTAAATACGATTACATATCAAAATATAAAGATAATACTTCCTAGTTTTCAAATCGATATATAATGAAGCTAGTCAGGAGCAGAAAACGTTAGAAATAAGTTATACGATGTACCTTCAAAGAAATCAATTACGGAGAACTAGAATTTACTTTGTGCTATCAGAAAAGATGGCGAGTACAGCACTAAATTATGTTTTACATGCAGATATTTGATTTGCGTGTTTGATATCAACACCTGCGGTCGATATGTCTCCCGAGTTTACCAACACTAAAGCAATCAAACTGAAAATTGTATTTTTATTAGTTATTCAGGGTTGACGACAGTAGGTATTGGGGTTTCAATGATCAAAATATAAATTTAAAATAAGATACGTATTTATTAATGTCATGCGGTCTCTGAAACGTAACTGTCAAAAAATGGGTATAACTGGTACACAATTTACCAGACACCCTTAGCTCTTTAAAAATGTTTTATCTAAAACTGCCGGTTGTTTCCAAAGGCTTATATATTCTAGTACACGTAAGATTTTATGAAAAAGGTATCCGCGTGAACAATACAACCTACTTTAGATACGTGGAAATGTGTTTTTACCTGGTTGGCTTTACTTTTTCTGAATACAACGAAAGTGTTAAGATTCCGGGAACAATATTTTTTATGAAAAAAGGTGCTTATGATCTGGGAATTCTTGATAACAATACTTAGTAGATACCTTTCTCTGATTTCCACGCTGAGTGTAATATGTATTGTTATAGCTTTTAGATATCTATTCAATGGATTTCTTTTTATATCGTTAACCATGTAAGTTATCCGAAACTAGCGCACAATTCTTAATGGAGAATAAAGGAAACGGATAACATCAAGGTAACCTGCTAAATTCTTAATCAACTACCTACTTACAATTTGTTCTCTGAAGATAAATCTCGAAATTAAGGTTACAGTTACGTTGGGCTCAAATACTTTCATTTGTAGTTCTAAATTAATTTAGGTAGGTAGTCTAAGTAATTATGTAAAAATTATGCAGACCCAAATTTTGACATCTTTAAGTAGGTAACTACTAAGTAATGTCCAAAATAATGATAGAAAGCATTTACTTGTAAATAATTTGTTAGATAACAAGATAAAAATTTGAAAAGTAATATCTTCAGCAGACGTACTTACATACATTTAGAATTATTTCGTACCTTCTTAACAAGTGTACTCCATCAAACTATCACTCCAACTCAATCTGAATAAGATACTCTGTACTCCCATGTTGCCAAAATAAGGGCTCTTCTTCGAATAAAAGTAAAATATGATCGATCTTACATTACCTTTTTATATAAGCCTTTGTTAAGATTTTTCTAACAAATTTTCCACTGAGTAAACTGATAGACGTTCCACATAAAAATAGAAAAAGAATATGGCCTACCTGCACATCAGCTTTGAAGACAAGTTGGCGATGTTCGACATTGTTGACGGGAAAAATATAACAAAGAGGATGTCATAGTTAAAACAGCTTTTACCTCGAACTTTCATGTTCAATAACTTTGTACCAAAGATAGACTTGTCAATTATCTATTTAGGTCCCTTCTTGAAGAAAAGAAACCATTAAACAAGTATTATGTTACGTTTTGTAATAAGAAGGGCTTATGAATAGTGTTCTCCATGATCATGACATCAATGCAGACTCATGCTTTCATAAAACCTATTGTCTAGACCATAAATGAATCCTAGCATCAACCTTTTGCCCCCCAGACAACCTCACATGTCCGGTAAGTAGCATTAAATATTGACAACCATTGTTCTGGTTTCTACCTATCTACCCACAGTTATTTACGGGCGAAATCAAATTAATGAGGCATAAAGATATTAAAGTTGACACAACCTCATTTCGTTTCGCCTTACTCTGACGTCTGCAAAGTTATGAAAAGCGTAACTTTAAGGGAGTGTTTTGTTAAATGTTATCAGACAGTTTTATAATCGTTTATACTTTTTTTACTAAAATAATTGTTATTTCTAAGATCTATTTTAAGAAAATGTGGAACTGTTGAGATGTCTTTCTATCCTTGCTTTGGTGTACTGCGACGACTGACAGTCTCGCTTTTCGTAAAAACGTCTATGACAGTTGTTAGAAGTCAACGTGATGAGACCGTAACATATGACAAAGGTACACGTCCAAGAAAGGCTTATCAAAGAAATCACTGACTAAAAGAAATGTGAAATTGAATAGATAAAGATGAAAGAGAAAATAAAAAAATACTGATATAAAATATTAAGATGACAATCTGCATTGCCGTAACCTAAATTTTAATCTAAGTATAGAATTGAAAGAATCGATCAGAACTGTTCCTATTTTCTAGCCATTCGAAGATTAACTGTAAGGAATCTTCGCAATCTAGAATTTTCCGTCTTTATGAAGTAAAATCTTTCTAAATAATGTTGTCAGTTTGGATATTTTTAGTTTATTGAGCAGCTTTATTTTGAACGTAACACGTCTTACACGTTACATTCATGTAAATAATGTATCTATTGTTATTGTGATCAATAATGTTTATTCAGAAGATTCTCCACACACGTCATTCTCTTTCAAATATGCAAATCCGCGCCGATGGGGGAATCTGCCTGTTGTATAAACTAGGAGAGGTATGACAGCTGATATTCTTGAGCTTTTAACGTGCTCGTGGAGCGTTTAATTAGCAAAGTTCCCCGTTCAATATGATCAAGTTAAGTCTTTACCGAAATTGCTTACAATGCATATCTAACTTGCGACTTTGCTATTCGAACAACACCTACTTATTCAACTAGTCAATTCGAATTTTTATTTTCTGGTCTAGTGCATTTGACATACGCTTTCATGTGTAAGAGATACAATAAGATTTTGACTAGGAGCCTTTAATATGCACATTTAGATGAGGTGCGTAGGCTGCAATTGTATTCGCGTGAATTCTTCTGACAGTTGTTCGATAATCGTTTCTATATCGTTGATATATCCATAAGGCTGAGAAATAAGTAATGTTGAATTATTGCAATGTAAATTTTATGCAGAAATCTACATTACATACATAAATCAATTAAAATAATAATGATTGTGTTACTATCAAATAAGAGACTGTTGCTGCGACGGCACAGCTTATAAATTATAATGTTTGCACTGCTATCAGATTGTATACACTATGTAATTAAATATAATTCAACGATCAATCTCAGCGAGTGGGTGTGGGGAGACGTTTGCTTTGCCGAGCTAACACAGCCATGTGCCCACGTAGAAAAACCCATGCGTCAGCGATTGTTACAAATTAAACGAATAAACTGCCATTCTAACCAGACGATTGTTTTACAAAAACACGGTTCTATTGAAAATAAAAGAAAAATCGGTTCAATTAAAAATACATTCATTTACACTCTCCGTGCCTTGTTTTTCTCGTGGAAACCGGCAGCAGCACCATATTTATTTACGTACAATACGTGTCCTCAGAATAAAGCCTTTACAATATGTTTTCACAAATACTGAACCGAATTGTAAAGGACGGATATACCAATTAAATAGAAACGCTTTTTGTCTCAAAATATAAACAAAATGACATTGTACATTATTGGAATTATTGGATATTCTCACATCTGTACCGTATTGTTTGATGTTCCCCATTGTAGTTTTGGTTTTCCACCGCTGTAGCTCACCCGGCATTGTCAATCAATATCATAAATGTACAATAAGTAGGTTCCTATATTTCAGCGGTGCGCAGCTCGCTCCGAGTGGAACGGAAATTCGCGTGAAAATGTAATGAGCGACTAATTTTGATTGGCGCTTTTCGTGTTATATTTTCCCCTTTATTAAAATATAGTTGTCACAACCAGAAAACATCTACTGTGACTAATCCAACAGTCAAACTATTTACATATAGTTTTGTTGGACATGGCGTTAGATTATAAGGCATACCATGTACCTTTATTATTAATAAATAAATAAATAATGAATAATAATTGTTACTTTATGATCCGAATAAAACATGTAATGTCTTTTAAGTTATATTCGTCTGAACAAAGTCCTACAGTTGTAATTGTAACATTATGTTTATTGATAACAAAATTCCACCCGTAATGCGTTATATCAGCGTCCTCTAAATAGAACAAGTTGATCATTGCAAAGTCTAATACAATTAAGTAGGTTTCAATCGTAGATAATGTTGGCGGTGTAACATGAAGCTCGGTAGATTAGTTTGTAACAAATCTTAATTATAAAACATAGTAACGTTGGAAGGGGTAGGTAATTGGAAAAATGTAGGTACATGTTTTTCTTCTCTAATTGGACCTAAGTGTCTGACTTCTGCCCTTGTTTTATACCAACGTAGTTATTGAACTCCGCTTTCGTTAGTTTTTTCCTTCGCAGTTTTACCCCAGTTAAGCTATTATCGACTTGTGACGATCGGGTGGCTTGTTAAGCTACCTGTAGGTACTTCCACTCCCTAATAGCCTATTTATTTCGATACAATTCTAACGAATAATGATATACATTTATATTCCAACCGTAAGTATAATTTGGTTTCCATAAATATATTTTCTCTGTATCCATTTCACTAAGTAGTTGTAATATAATGACTTGTATGATATTTTCTTATGTTTGGTCCAACGAATGCAAACCTAACGACGATTTTTATAAATGGGGTCTAGAAGGTAGTACTCAATATCCAGCGAACTAAAATCGAAGTCAATATGAAAGTCGCTATTGTAAGTTGAGCATGATTAAGCAGAATTCAACACAATTGGATGTGATTAAAAATGAGGAGGTGGATTGGATATTCAGCTAGATTTGAGAATAAAAACCTATTTGGAAGGAACTATGCTACGTCTGTAGCTACAACGTACTCGTAGCGACGTGCTACGCGCGTAGCAACGAGCCTACGCGCGGCAAGTTCGCTCCGCCTAAAATATGATATTTGTAACGCTCGTGAGCACACCGCGCCGGCCGAGACTCCTTTGTTTGTGTTACTGGTTAGAAATATACATTTTTTCAATAAGTGATTGTATTGAATTTTTTATAACCTTTAATAATTTGTGTATACTGATTATAATCTTATTATTAATTTGATATTGTCCTATTAACTTTTTCTATAAAACTATTACCTATTCATTGAGTTAATGGTCATATATATTTAGGCATTTATATTTCAAGTACTTTTCTAAGACTTGATTTCACTTAGACTCATTTGAGTGCTGAGAGAAATCACATCAATCCTATGCGAAACTTACTTGTACGGCTACAAATAAACATTTGTTACGCTTTATGTCTGAGTTAAAAAGAAAGGAAGCGGATTCTGTCAGTTCAGATAGCACCCGAGTATAGAAGCGGCCGCCGCGCAATCCGTATGAATAGAACATGTTTATCATATTAAAGTCGGTCTCCGTGCCCCCGCCGTAATTTGTACGAGTAGACCCTAAACAAAATGCATTAATTTAACTTTGCTCATGACTTTGTATTTGACTTATTCCTAACCATAGCAATGTTGCTCTGTGAACGTTTGAAGGACACACTAAGAATAGTGAAATAGCATGAATTTATAAGGGCTGTCGATTTGAATACTGGATTTCTCGGGCGTGGTGGAGATCGTTTGAAAATAGTTATTTTGAAACATGCAATGTAGGTTAGAGACCGTGGCATCTGGGTCTTTACTCTCTCCGCATAAATAATTTAGAGCAGGCACGTTCCTACGGGTTACTATTCACACTTAAACACTCCTTCATGAGTCGTTATCGCTCTACCTAAAAGATAACTAGGTCTTCCCACCCTTACGTAAAGCACTGTATTATTTTATCTTTCAATCAGGAAGCGAAAATCTATATTTTTGTCAAAATTAATGTCCGGAACGCCTTCACCGTAATGTTGTCATAAATAAGAGCCTTAAATATGTATTTACGCTTAGTTTTAAGACACGTTCAGTGTTCACCCCTTGGAAATCGCTGACTTATCGACTGGGGATGGCCTTGGGCTTTAATTATAAACTTGGGTCGTTTAAGTTGACTTTGTTATATATAAAACAACGTCGCGCGTCGTTGAAGTCACTACCTATACGTGCTTACAGGTAACGTGGTTGGCGGCGGCAATGAAATTACCTGATTGCACGTAATAACCCACAAACATTATGAAACTCCCCTTAACTAAGTTTGATCCAGGAGTTGAACACTGTTGACGAACATGCTGTAGAATATATGTACAACTACATGTTCCGACGTTTATTGAGACATGGCTGTTAGCTGTTACCAACGTCAGATTTATAGGTATTTGTACGACATGATTCCCACTTCCTCATAGAGCATATCGATCCGTCCAAACCTCTAGGCACATTTACCTAATTGATCATTTTACATAACGTAAAATTCTATCTCTTGTTAGTAGCTGAACTACTTCGATAATAATGAGGATATATTAAATGTATTAGTAATTAAAATAAATATAACTTTTTGTTTACCAGTGCAGTCTTATCGCTAGATATAGCCTAGTAGGTAACTAATATAATTAAATGAATATCTAATCACAAGGTAATTGCTCTTGGAATTAATATTGCTCAACTAGTAGATTGCATGAGGATACTATTGTATTGTAATTAACGTTGAAACTAATTTCATTCTCAGTTTACATTTCACACACAGGTGCAACGCATCGATGTTGATACCAGGAACAAGGCAGATAATTACGGATTCAATTATTGGAATATTCCGGATTACATGACATTAATTACAAAATCAGCAACGAAAGCTCATTGTAAAATTTTGTAAAACCACATTTGTTTGTTTCGTAAAACCCATGTTTACTAACTAATGGTTTTTAAAGCAAAATGGCCGCCGTGTATATCACACAAACAAGCTTTTGTGCAAGGGGTGGTAAACTAAGTGGGTAAATGCAAACGTAATCCAGTGGAAATAAAAGTATTCGCACTTCCATTGATTGAGTTTCAGTACCTCTGTTTGAACACGGTGTGTGCGAATGGGCATCGTAGCTCTTATTAAATGTAAACAACAGTCGCACTATACATAACGATTGGTACGCGCTTACTTACAGTTTAGATACTACATCACCAACGTCAAAACCTGCAAGTAAGTAGTAAATAATGAAACAACAATTTTTAAAATCACACAGAACGATAAAGGAACAAAAACAGCTTTTCCTACTAACTCACTATCAAAACCGTTGAGCACTTACCGTTGCCGGAGAATCTTGTTTGGCAAAATAATATAACTGTAATTGGAAACATCGCCCTGAGTTTGTTCGTAAGACAACAGTTGTTAACATCATGTTACGTCCAGTCCAGTAAGCTTATTTATTTCGTTCATCAGAGGGAATGTAGATTTACTTTGTAAATCGTGTGAACAAAACATTTAAACTAGATAACCAAACGGATTTGGTCGTAGGGACAGAGGTGTTTTTTGTACTAGAAGTCCATTAACATGGACAACCACGTCACGAAAATGAAATCTCGTCCAAAGGGTATTTAGTCTCGCGTCCCGTTAATCGGATGATGAACAAGATTTACTCGCGTGTTGCGCCAGACAGCACTCTATTTTGTGTCTAGTTTAATTTAGCTAGCTCCAAATGATTTAAGCAAGGGGAAAACGCAAAAACCTAGTGGGAATGGCAGCTAGTCGGATTAAGTGAATAACGAAGTGTAGAGTGCTACAGTACGAGCGATTTTAACTATTCATCTGCGTACTAGTATTTAGTCAGGGTAAAAATGGAACCCACGAAATCCAAAACACATTTATTCCATTGGTCCAATTTAAATTCAATATGCATAATTGCACGTTCATAATCATACGTGTGTGCAAATCGAATAAAACACTCAATTAAAGTTATTTTAAACTCGGGTTTATCTGATAAAGTTGACAAATTTGCTAGTGACTTTGTTTGATATTCGAGAGAAGTAAAGCGGAAATTTTTCACAAAAGGTAGGTGCATCTGAATAGAAGCTTCCGAGAACAAAAGCTGCTCAGCACGGCTCTTTAGTCGCTCAAAAGAAACCTTTCCTTCGTAGTGTCACAAATAATAAGTTATTGTATTTAATAAATTAGTTTTCTCAGATTCTTGTGACTTCAATTATGTGTGTTCAAATATTTTATATTGCCTTACATAAAATCTATTTGCTTACGTTATAGAATAGATTTTTATTTGTCTATTAATTTTGCATCTTAGTTGGTAGAGACCGTGTTGGCTAATTTATCTTTAGCCACCGTACTAAAACAGTGTGTATTGGAGTTTCTTTCACTGGTTTGTTCCATAAAATGCTTTTTCTGCATCGTAGTATTCCTTTCGTATTCTATTTATTTCCTGGAAACATTTACCTGGCTTTTTGAGCGGTTTTTTATTTTTCACTTTCCGCTTTCAAAGGGCTTTTAGTGCTTCAGAAATTTTCCCGCACTTCCTTTTACACAGAATGTCTTTTAATTTTTATACACACAACCCAACTTTGCCTTTTATTTGAGTTTTTCTGAACTGTATCAGAAGTGCAAGGACCATTTAAA